ATCTTGTCCCTTGTGAGATCAAGTAGAACACTCTCAGCTCTTCTAGAATTATACCCATGCTTACTAGTGATACTTTCTTGTAATATTTAATTGAATGTAACAAGAAGCAAGCCAAAGTAATGTAGTTTATTAATATAAGAGAATGATATATTGGCGCCCATAGCATGTCCTGTACTTAAAAGTTCTTGACACAGAGATTTATTAAAATGGTTCATACGACTTGTTTAAAGCTTTTATTATCTAGTAAGTAATGTTGGCAAATCGAGAAGGTACTTAAATCATTAGATCTGATAGCCTTGTGTCCTCAGCGATGCAATGCAATCATCAAACATCTCTTCAGTACCCTTGAATTTAAACCCCAAGTCACGTAGTTTGGATGTGTCAAACTGGTAACGTGGTATCTCAGCATGGTAATTGTGGAACCTGAACACAAGTCAACTTCTTATAATGCAAAGGAAAGATTACCTAGTAAGAATTTATATATTTACACGAAGACAATAGTCAAAGAATAAATCATAGATGTTAAATTGTTTGCTTCTTTTATTTTATTTTTCAAATAAATCATCAAAAAGTAGGTTATAGACATCAGTTCATGGTTCTTCAGTTGTTTCTTAAATCCCTTATATTCTGAAAGATTTTACTTGCATACAAATAAGTGTCTCAAATTGTTCTTAAAGTTTTGTGTATTCTTAGACACATCATTCTTTTCCAAATTTTGCGAGATTCTAGTTTCATAACAAGGAAACTTCAGCCTCTAGAACCTTAGCTTGTAATTTACAATGATATATACAATATGATACCATAAATAGAACTAACCTATTTGGGATGGGCAATGAAGGATAGCGGTTTGCAAGCAGGGCAGCTACTTCATGATTATCAAGGACATTGGAACTGCAGAGATATCGCCCTTGAGCATTGTCATTTTCGTACACCAAAATGTGGCAGCAGGCAACATCATCAATGTGAACATAGCCCATTCTGCCATAAGCTGAGAACCTATCTTTTTCTCCTGCAAGTTAGTTTCATCAGTACTTATAGTGTGATGTACCTATTGTTGAAAAGAAGGCATTTAGTGCCTTGAAATTTTGTTTTCCATAGAAAGGAAGGATGATCCATTGCGGCATTAGAAATACCTCGAAGTAGGCCAAGGACGTCACTAACAGTTAGACACAAATCATGGGGCAGACTTGGTCCGACGATGAATGATGGAAGAAGAGTTACAAGGTCTATTTTGTTCTCCTTTGCAAATTCCCAAGCTGCCTTCTCTGCTAGAACTTTTGCTAGGGCATACCACATCTTGGATAACAAAAAGCAAAAAGAATATATGAGCATTATTCAGAATTAAGCACATTGCCATGGATCTTTTTTGCTTAGTGTTTCTGCTCTTATCATAGCAAGAAGGGTTCATTTAGCCTTCAATAATTGTATAACCAAAAAGCCATCTAAATAAGTATTGTGTATGTATAAATGTGCCAAACATGCAGTAGCAGATTAGTTATGGTCTTTCACCTGGAACGTTTGGCAAAGTTCCACAGAGCTCCATGATGTCTCATCCAGTGGTAATCTGGGGTTGACATTCTCTCTTACTCTTATTGCAGATGAAGACGACGTCAGAACAACTCTCCTTAGTGCTGGATTCTTCTTGCATGATCGCAACACATTTAGAGTGCCAGTGACTGCAGGATCCAGTATCTCAGCCTGCTAAATGTCAACACCAGGAGCCATGGCCACAAACAACAAAATGAGACAAATTTCCACAAATGCAACTAAGCTGTATGTTCTCCTGACCATTTTTCTCTCTCTTTTGCAAGCGGTTTTAAGAGAGAACTATTTTCCATGTGTCCAACTCCAAATAAGAGGGAAGAATAGCAGTTTTCAGCTACTGTTCAAATGGACATGCCATGATGAGAGGAACTGCATACCTTGGGATACATGGCTACGACCACGGGAGATGCGGTATGGAAGACACCTTCACATCCCATTACGGCATCATCAAAGCTGCCTTCATCCATGAGATTGGCCTTCACAAGCTGAAGCCTGTCCTTTGCACCTTCCAACTCCCACAGATGGGCCAATTTCTTATGGCCCCCTGCAAATCTGTTATTGTTAGTTCCATCTTGTAATCCGAAGAGATGAGTAAATCGAGTCCAAATGAGCACTGAATTCTGTCTATTGATGAATGTCTATTGATGAACAGGGACATGAGTTGATGATGAAGAAGAAGAAATGGAGTGATGGAACCTGGGTCTCGGACTGTTCCTATTACATGATACCCAGACTGTAGAAGTCGCTTAACAAGCCAAGAAGCAACATAACCAGAAGCGCCTGTCACACACACCCTGCCTTTGCTACCTGAAACCTCGTCCATTCTGTCAGAAATGTGGAGACTTCCATGTCTATTTATACATGTACTCCAGAGCTTGTTATGTAAGCCAAGATGGGTAGTTCATCACCTTTTGATGTTCTCTGACGTTACTTGTAACTTAGAGTCTGGTGGAGAGTCGATGGAAAAACTAGCACTCATACGTATCATGTCATGCACACTCTTGGTGGACATAATCTTTTGGAGGAAAATACACAAAACTCATGATAGGCACAAGAAAGACTTTGACGTCCCAGAGAAGTCGCCATCTTGGCTTTCTAATGGAGATCAAAATGAACGGATGTGGTGAGGGGGAGCTTCAATAATGTTGATATAGTATGCTAAGTGGCTTATTTGTTATGTTCAGTAAGTAAGCCGTCGACTAGAATCCACGTGTTGCGTCTGGAATGATCAAAAAAAATAATTATATTATTATTAGATAAAAGATACAATTTTTTTTTTTAAAGGTAACGAGCATAAGATTTATATTCAGAAAGCAGATCTTAGTATCTTCATTATGTTAGGATAATAAAATATAAAAATAAGACTCTTTTAAGCATCCATTCACGGATGTGTTCCTTCCTTAACCCATTAAAATCTTAAGATACAAATTTACAATCAACATATGATGTGCAATTTTAAGGAATCATTTGCTGATTAATTAACACAAACACGATTCATGAACTCAAAAAAAGACATATAGAAAAGTTTAGCATGATCACTACATGCATAAATCGAGAAATTATATTCAAATTAGTATAAGTTTGTTGAATCTCGGATTTTGATGATGAAACCAATTGATAAGTATTTATGAATTGATCTGCGTTTTGAGTGACGCAGGATGCTTCGATCAAGATGAGATAATTAAAGTAGGAAGAATCATGATGGGTCGGTGGAACATTTCAAAAGATTCGACATCTAATGGAAGGATCGGATGACGTATCGACATAATGCTTTGGGCCATGGATTCGGGCATCGGGCTAAGAAGAGCTAAAATTACGCTAAGAATATCGGAGTCACGGAGGTCAGTTGGCCGATTGGGCAATAGGCCGCAAGAGAGGACGATGCGTCAAAGAATCGGACGAAGCGTCGATGGACCAATGACATGCCGGATAACATGATTCATGCTTAGTAATAATTGTCTAGATCGAAGTATATTTTTACATGTGCAGAATTAACTATGATAGCAAGGCATAAAGCAAAATGAAGTCCCGGAGTCAAGAACGTGATTTCATTGAGAGTTCAAGAGTTCATCGGAAGTCCGAACGTTCGTCGGAAGTTCTATTGGAATTGACCAAGAAGTCTCGAAGCTTACCAAAGAAGCTCGTCGGAACTTGCCAAGAAGATCATCATGAAGTCCAGGAGCTTGTTGGGAGTCCACTAGAAGATTGTCGCGAGATCATCGGAAGTTCACCAGAAGATCGCCGAAAGCTCACTAAAAGAAACCTAGACTTACGGACTTTGTTTAGCTTAGTAAATATCTTAAAATTCATAGTTAGCATATAATAAGGATTAGAATTGGGTCAACCTAATTAGGGGATAGTTGGGCCAAGTTTGGGTTATGTTAGGCCAAGAGAAAAGCCCAAACAATGACTAAACAAGTGAAACCATCGTGGCACAGTCTCCAAGACTGTGTCAATGGTGGTACCACTAGTCTGGGTGGTGGTACCACCCAGACTCAGTCTCCGAGACTATATGGGTGGTGGTACCGCCCAGTGTCAGGCTACAGGTGGTGGTACCGCCCATACCCTGCAATTTCAGGGGTTTAAATTTTGGGCTCTAAATTTGAATCCATTTGGGGCCTATAAATACCCCAGCTATTCCTGCATGGATAAACAAGAAATATTGAGTAAAACCCTATGATTCTAAAGTTATAAACCTTAGAAAGTTGAGTTCTCTCTTCCCAAAGCTTAGAGAGAGTTTAAAGAGATGTGAGAGTGATCCCTTGTAAAAGAGGGTTGTCAAAGGTTGTTCCCTAAACATGTGAAAAGGAGAAGAGGGGTGTAAAAGGGTAGTTGATCTTCGCCCATTGAAAGAAGACCGATAGTGGATGCCGATGGCCTTGAGAAAGAGGAATCTAGTTTGCGTTTCTCTTGTGCAATTTACTTTACTGCAAATCACTTTACTTACTTTACATCTACTACGCTCTTCCGTACGCTTTCAAAGTTAATACATTTACGAAATAGTTTTTCGTCGAAAACAAATTTAATCGTAATGAAGTTTTGAACCGACATAATTTTTACTGTTGTACTAATTTACCCCCCCCTCCTCTTAGTGCCGACTCTTTTCCTAACAAAGTTTATGTTATGTTCGTTGAATTTCTAATTCTATCCAAAACAAGAGATTCTTTGGAAAACAACTCAATTCATTTCTTGATCTCAAATTAAATCTGTCTCGATTGTGTTCTTCCAACCAAATAATTCCTATTCAACTTATTTGAACATATCGTCGAAATATGATTATTTTTTCTAGTTCAATTAAATTCCATCGACGGACCGGCATATTGGGCCGCTCATCTAAAAGACCCTTTAGTCCTTTCCTTGTCAAAACAACGTGGTACATCAACCGATCAAAGAAGCCAGGGGTAAAACCGTAACTTCATAGTGGCCTGAGTTGGTTCCGTTCCTCCCGAGCATATATACGGCCGGCTCCAAAGCCCTAATCTTCTCGGTCCGTGACTCTGCTGTTGTCCGCCGCTTACCCTAACACCCATCCCAAGCGGAGAGAAGACGAACTAGGAAGCCATGGTTGATCTCGATTCCTTTCTTCTCTCGCGATCGACCGTAGATTGATCTCTTGGTGACCTTTGATTTGATCGTTTTGCTTCCATTTTGTTGTGGGCGACGAGTAGGCGGATGCTTCGGACGCTGTGGACGTGGGAGGTGCGCAACCGAAGAAGAGGACCTTTAGGAAGTTCTCCTACCGTGGGGTCGACCTCGATCAGCTCCTTGACATGGGCCTCGATGAGCTGGTCAAGCTCTTTGATGCTCGTGCTCGAAGAAGGTTTAGATCCCTTCTTTCTCGTTTCCATCGTGTCTTTCGTCTTTCTCTTTCGAAGGATTAATGTATTTGTTTTGTCTTACGATGAACATTTGGGCGGGGATTCGCGCAGGTTCCAGAGAGGGTTGAAGAGGAAGCCCATGGCTCTGATCAAGAAGCTTCGTAAGGCGGTACGATGCCTCCGTTTGTCTTGTCAATCTCCTTATCTTGCTTCGTTTCATCCGTCGTATGCTGTCACATCCTCTGTTTTTGTCTGATTTCATATGTAAAACCCTGCTTGGTTTTCCTCATGTTTTGGTATATGCAAAAGTAGAATTTAGATATATCCTTTGGCAAGTGGCTTTGTCCTTTTAATTTTGGACAGCTTTCAAATTATCAAAGGCGAGGTAGGAAACAGGAGACTGTCGAGAACATTTTCCAAGACGTTTATGCTAATCCCTATACAGTATTTGAACAAATAGGGCTCAAGAAATAATGGGTTATTGATCACTGCACCTTATACCAAGTCTCTCCAAGTGCTGACCACAACACCCATCACAATTGTGTTCGAGTTGCAGATGTTGTTGTTGGAAACAGGTTGCTTTGGATTGGATATTGGAAAAATAGTAATCATGTCAGTTTTCTGTAAATAGATAAGAACATAGATAAAGATTACTCGATTGTATAGCAATTTGTTATAAAACTAAGAATCCAACAGTTTTGATATTTAAAATCTAAATTTGATAGGAAAGAAGATTGCAGAAGATCCTGTGCTTTGTTATTCTCTCTAGATTTGAATGTTGAACTGTTAGAAAGCAACATATTGAATAATTTGGTATCCGTTGGTTAAAATTTTGCCATAGAGGTGTGGGTTTCTGGGTTTGGTATCTGTTGGATAAAGTTTTGCCATACAAATGTGGGCTTTTGGGAAGGTTAGAATGATACACAGATAAATTTACTTGCTATAAATTCTGACATATCTGAACATGTAAACAATATCGGCTGAGGATAACATTAGGAAAAATTATCGTTTGGGGAGGCTCTTAGCCTAGGTCTTTACTGACCACGAATAATTAAATTATGTGATAGAATAAACATGATCTTGCTTGGAGCAACGCCGATCATGCCAGAAGGGAAACTGTTCTCTTATTTTTCTTATCTTTTAAGGTGGGTTGGGTGTAGGCAAAGATATCGTGTATTGGTTCAACTTGGGCCCAAATGGTTGAGGCCCATGCTTGCCATCGTATTGGAATCTCAACATATGGATCCAAATAGAAAACATATTATTTGGTTATTTCAATATATCTGGAAGTTCTTGTTGCTTTCTGTTCTACAAATAAAATGAGTTGGGCAAGAAGGCAGATGTGATAGCTTGTATGGAACGGGTGGTAGAAGTTCTGTTTAATCACTGACATGAATGTGTGAATGAGTGTGAAGGTCTGCATATACGATAATTACCAACTCAATTTTCTCGCATAGGCTATGACTTCTAAGGTATATGTGCATTTTGGTTTTGTAGGAGAAAAAGTAATGTGTTTCATATAACTGTGGTTTTAATTTGTATCATTAAGATACCCATCAGCTGATACAATAACCAGGATTTTTGTTATCATGAGTGATTCAACATTAGGCTCGATATTGATAGACCGCGAATGTTTGGGGCCATCTCTTTTGATGCCTAAAACTTATGAGAGCCATATGAGTTGTATCCAGTAGTATAAAAATCATTGAGTTCATTGTTTGTCTCACTTTACATAAATCATCAAACAGAATTCTGCCTTGCAACTTTTAGTTACCTGTGCTGAATAACTATAACCAAAATGGTCGACTTCTGCAAATAGAATTGTGATAATGTCTTTTTCTTTTACAATATGTATATTTCAATCACATATTCTGTTACTTGTTATGATTGAAAATGTGCAGAAGCGTGATGCTCCCCCTGGTGAAAAACCTGAGCCTGTGAGGACCCACCTCAGGAACATGATAATAGTCCCAGAGATGATTGGGAGCATCATTGGTGTCTACAATGGAAAAACTTTTAACCAGGTTGAAATCAAGGTAATCATTTTGTCACACATTTGTGGCATTCTGATAATTTTTTGTATTGCATAGTTTGTTATATCCTGTGTTAATCATATGATTTGACAGACATCTAGTTAGTTCGACAGAAAAAATGGAATATTAGGTGTAATCTTTTATCTCTGCTTTCTATTTGTTTTATCGAAGAATCCTGTATCATCTATCCGTCTATGTTGGGGTATGTATGATCTTACATAGTGTAATATTTGTTTATTGATCCAATGTTGTGACATCGCAGCCTGAGATGATTGGTCATTACCTGGCTGAGTTCTCTATCTCATACAAGCCTGTGAAGCATGGAAGGCCTGGTATCGGTGCCACACACTCCTCCAGGTTCATCCCGCTCAAGTAATTATTCCAGAGAAAGATGGCAAGAAGGTCATTGCAACCGTTCAGCGCTTATTCCCATTTTATCTGCCGCTGGTTTTAAGTTTAAACTTTCAGTGCTTATTCTCATTTTATTCGGTCATGTTCCATTATTGTTTAGTCTTTCGTGCCCAAGTGGTGTTTAAATGACTTTTTGACTTGTACCAGATTGGCCAGATACTGTCTCTTCCGTCAACAGTATTTATGACGTGCCTATTATCGCCCGAAGGATGTACCATCCGTAACTTGTCATAGCATGCATAATCGTGGTTAAAAGTGTTTCTGTAGCTTATCTTAACTTTTGGGCTAGATTATTGTAACTCAAGCTCTTCTTACACAACGTTTATTATGTCCCTTGGCCCACCTCGGTTTGTTTGGTATTCACTGATCTTGACCCCCTATCAAAACCGAATGATCTGGCGTTTGTGGCTCTTACCTCTTGAGACATTGGAACTGACTTTACTGATGGTTTGTGATTCTGTCGAGCGAGAAGCTACAACCACTCCACGCGAGGTCAACGTCAAAGATCAAGTTCTTGGTAATATTTGCACGGTTTCCATTGTTCGTCAACCATTTAACAGATCTATTTGTAGCGAAATCTGATAGATACAATCCACATTACCATTGTTTAGTACAATGTAATGTACGAGACTGGTGCTGGACCGATACATCTACCGGTCTGGTATGGATGTCGAACTGTAAGGAAATTACAAGAGGAGAGTTCTAGACAACATTTGGCAACGAATTCCTACAGGACTACTGTGTAGTCTTAATCACAGGCTAAGATTTGGCAACGGGAATGGAATCAGCAGAATTCGAATTCACCAATCACCGTAGGCCGGCGCTATCATGAACCAGCCCCTCGGAAAGGGCGTATTCCTTAATACGCCCAAACGCCTTATCATTACTAACTAAGAAATTTGATTACCGTCCTAACTAGCTAGTACAGGAGCAGGTCAGTTATAAGGCAACGAATTCCCCCGGGCCATTAGGGCATTGGTTTCTCTCAAACTTCTTGCTCTTCTATGATCAATCTCGGCGTCAGAACAATTGTCTCGGTTGAGCTCGCTTGCCAAGCTGGGCTGGTGGTTTGAAGTCCTCGAGTCACTTTCCACACCACAATCTGTGTTAGGGCTGCCGGCAGCTAAAGCAGAGGTATCTCCAGACTGAATTTGTGGTCTCACACCTGGATAACAGTTGAGATTACAAGCATCATAAACAGAGGCGTTTCTTTGGGTCAGTTTTCAGTCAGCAACAGAGAGAACTCAAGGCAACAAGCATTGCATATCGATGTGAATGCATATGATGAATTCAACATATAAACTCCAGTGCAATTGGGATTACCTGCATGCATGTTATTCTGGTCAGATTTGCAATCAACTCCGACTGCAAGATGTGCCATCACTTGCTTTGGGCTCATAGGTTCCAACAAATTGGATGCCTTTTTACCTGTCATCAATCTCCGTAATGGAATACTGCTCTATTCCAGTTTTACTATCTGCAAATGGAGACATCATAAAGGACTCATCAAGTGGTTCAGATAGCTCCACATAGTTTTGTGTCATGACGATCTCATCTGCACTGAATCCAAATGATGCTCTGTATGCTTCAATCTCTTCTACACCCTGTTTGCAGCTTTTATTGTGTCTGGTTCCATCATAAAGGCGAGCCTTGTCTGGAAGTACTTAAAAAAACTAAACACTAGTCCTATTTTTTAAAATTATTATCGTTTTTTTAATTGGTATATAGATGGTGAGCGAGGATGGAAAACTGAAAGATAGTAAATTACCATAAAGAAAATTAAGAAGCTAGAAGAAAAGGAAAGGAACAAATGAAGAACGAGCATGACGTAAAAGAAAAAAAAGGTTGAAGCAAGTTAGTTTTCAATAAATCATGACAAAAGTAAGCATGTTGACAAATGTTGATCGCAGTAAGTTCTCAGTCAAGATAAAAGTCCAAACTTACAAAAACTTTGATTCCTTGATAATTCAAAACGAATTATGTCCTTGAAAGTGGACATCATAACAAAGGCTACAGATTTTTGGTTTTCACTCTCTAGTTACGAACTATTCTGAGGTTACAACATCAATAGAATAAGTTGAAATTTAACATCCATTGGATACATTATAAAATGGCAATTGAAGGTGCAAAAAAATGAACTTCCTTTTCTACAAAGGATTATAAACATCACTTTACATGAATGAATGGTTCCATGGTGTGATAAAAAAATATTCTCGTGATAGGACTCATAGAATCATTGGAAGGTTTCATATTCTTTATTCTCTTTGAGACAAACATTATCTTTATTTTTCACAAAGTTAGATTCACTTGATTGTCTTTATTTTCCACATCAACCAACCATTCCCAGTGGACCTTCCTGCCAAATTACAATTTGCAAAACCAACCAGGTTGCAGCAAAATTCTTAGTATTAAATAAATTTGATAGTTAAAAGCAGGTTTAGGATGGCAAAATGCCCGAGGCTCTTGTCATTGTAGGGTTCTAAAAATGGTCAATGCATGCAGCCCTATTACTATAACTGTTATGGTAAATAACTTTCGGGCCGCGACTTTGGGGCTGGCGCGGCTGGTTCTGGGCTCCAAATGCCTGGGATTAGAGGTGTCCCCCTTTGTCGGGCTTTAGGTGGCGGATGCGAAGGATCTTGCTCGAGGAGTCCGCCTGGGCGAACCGGGTTGACGGCGGTT